ACATACATACATACGTAAATAGGGAAGAGTGACATTATAGGCATGTTTCTCACTGACAATAAAAAAATGACAGCAACAAAACAAAGGACAGATGGAAACTACCCCACCCCATAAAAGAGGGGGCTGCACAACATAGGACATGAATGAGAAAGAGATGCAAAGGGGCTGAATACTGTTTCTATATATAGGGCTTGCTCTTGAAGCAGGATAGTGGCTAAATTCTTTCACACACTTTACCACTTTTTCAGTTAAGATTACTTATCAGGAGCGCTTGGATTCTTGTCAGCTTGCCTAGCTGGTTCTATTCCTGCTTGCCGGCTGAAGGCAGACAATGAATCAAGGAAGTAGACATCTCCACTGGGATCCAGGAATTTGTGCATGAGTCAAGAATATTTGGGTAAGAAGGAAATGGAAACAATATTATTGTGGTGGCGTGATATATATTGCCAAACCTGGTAAACATCCAGATAATCCCCTACTGGACCAAATTACAGAACTTTCAAAGAGGGGAGACTTCCAATTACCTGGATATCCTCTGTTGGAAAACAAACTTAGCCAACAGTGAGAAATCTCCCAAATTCTTCAGTGGTCTTGCTCACTGTTTATTTTCTAGAAGGCTGAACAAGAGACAAAGGGATCACTTTTCCATTAAAGAAATCAGTAGCGTTTGCAGACAGGGTGAAGGGCCAAGATATTTTAAATTCCAGATTGGGAGAAGCATAGCTCTTTACCTTGCCACACCCTCTCCCAGTACAGCTTTTTGATACAAGTTTGAAGGTATGTCTTGTACGTAGATAAGTCTTGAAATCGCAGAAACACTGGCAGTGGGAATAGGCTGATGAGCTTTGGTGCCGGGAGACTGAGCTATTAAGAGTGACTGAGAACAGCGACTGCCCACTTAACCAAAGTCTTGAGGAATGCAAACAGGAAGTATTTTAAACAATATATGCTTATGGCTAGGTAAAGGTCAATCTTCAGTTGAGTTCCATCTGAAATATTTAATTTATTCCATTGGAATTACAATGGAAAAGCAGGAAGAAAAATTTAAGGATAGAAGAACAAGAAGGTAGACAATATGGGGGTAGGCTTGTCCTTTTCTAAAAACTAACACAAGCATTGAGTAAAAGAAGAGAAAATGAGAAGAGCTTTTTTCCTTAAAGCTGCAGTGGCAAAATGTAATAATATGAAACACAGCAAACATAAAACTATACAATTTTCATAGCATCTCCTAGATCTGATTCCATCAATAGGGAAGAATAGGTTGAAAAGGTAAAACCAGCAGAAATTTTGAGTAGAAGTAACCATATAAACATGAGGTTTAAGATACTTCCGAAAAAGAAACTGGACAGTCCAACATTCAGGAGAGACAGTTCCCACTAGTTCAGAGGAACAAAACTCCCAATCTGAAAGATACTTGGGAACAGGAAACCGGAAGGGTAATTTCCCATGACTCCAGTGGGGAAAAAATGGGGGCAACTTAA